GCCCACCTCGGACACCACGCATCCCTGCGGCTGGGTTTCCTTCCTCACTATTGACGTTCGGGGCCAGAGAACCCTCTGTGGGGGCTGCTCTGTGTTACAGGCTGTTAGCAGCACCCCTGTGTTCTACTTACTAGACGACAGTAGCACCCCCCAAACTGGCAACCCAAGTGTCCCCTGGGCAGGTGGGGTGGTCCCGCCAACACTGCCACCCAACCCGCCTGCTTGCTCTCTGGCCCCGGGCTCTGCTGGGCAGCAGGAGGCGCCTGGCGGGCTGGAGGGGATTGGCGGCCAGGTTGAGAAGGGTGCACGGCTCCCCTTGGTGCAGTTACGGAAGCGCCTGCCTCCGACTCTAACAAGACTAGAAACCTGGAGAAGTCTCTGTGCACATGTGCAGGACAGAAGGAAGGAGATGGGGAGAGCTCGATTTATTGGGGTCTGAGCAACACTGCAGGTGAACTGCTCACACCTGCTTGGCAGTGCCCTTCCGGGTGTCCAGCTTCAGGTGGCCAGACAAGTCCCTCAGCTCCATGACCAGGTGGCCGAGGAGCACGCGCACATCCTGCATCTGTCTGAGGAGAAGGCCCATCCGGTGGTGCAGGTGGGGGTCGGAGGCCTGCAGGGGAGAGGGGGGCGCTGGGCCCCCTGAGGAAGGGCTGGGCGGTGGAGGCAGAGGCCTGGGTGGCTCCGCAGCAGGCATTCCTGGAGCCGCGGATTTCGGAGGAGCGGGGTTCAAGGTAGGTGGTGCACCAGAGCTCGAGGGACCTGGGTGTGGGGCAGGGAACACACTTACAGTGACTTCGGAAGCCCGGCTCCAGCCCGCCTCCCCTCCCCGCCGTCTCTCCTACGCTCTGACTGCCCAGGGCGGTGGAGACTCAAGGGCCCCGCGTCCCTCCTGGCACACGGGAAACCCTTCAGCAGTGAGGCTGGTCAGTGAGGGGTGTGGACGTCAGGGATCCTCCCGGTTCCCTGCCTGTGGGTGGCACCTGCCCTGAGGACAGGGCGCAGCCCTCTGGGCAGGACCTTCATGGAGCTGGCCCCACCCCGTGCGTGAGCCACTGCCCGCCCGAGAGCCTCCCCTGTCCCTCCCCCGATTCCTGCAACGAGGCTCCCTGGCTCCCCGGACTCCTCTTCTGTGTTTCCCGCCAGGAGCAGCCTTCACAGCGCGGCTCCCAGAACCAACACGGTGCTGTTTGCCTCACGTGCCCAGGTCCCTGGCGGGAGCGTCACCCGTGAGCAGCAGCTGCGGAGCTGGCGTGGTCCTGCTGCGGAGAGGAGTCCCTGGTCTAGGGAGAAGTCCCTGTCTGTACTCTCGCCATCCCCAGGGACCCGGCTCCTGGCTGCTGCCTCTGCTGTGCCTCTGCTCACACTGAGCCCCACAAGGGCCCCCCTCCTGCCCCGCCCTCCACACGCCACTCACCCTGCACCCTGATCTCCAGCCGGCGGCTCCTTTTCCACACGTGGTTGTCCTCGGTGGCGGCCTCGCACCAGTAGGACCCCGAGTGGGCCTCTGCGGCTGCGGGGACCTGCAGCTCTGGAGACAGGCCCCGGCCGCGCACGGCCCGGCCCCCCTTGTAGAAGGAGAAGAGGAGGCGGATGGCCGACCTCTGCGGGGGCAGCTTTGTCTGGCAGCTCAAGGTCACGGCGCTGCCCTCTTGGGGCTCTGGCGAGGGCGTGGCTCTGAGCACCGGAGCGGGAAACAGTTCTGGGAGAGACGGGCAGGAAGGGCTCAGCTCGGGCTCACACGCCCTGGGGAAGGAGGTCCATCTTCACTGGCCTGGACTGGAGCAGATCTAGTGCCAGGGCATCAACCAGGATGCGTGGGATAGAGGGGCCTCCGGGACTCGGAGGGTCGAGGGGCTGCAGCGCGCCTGCCCCCCCCCCCACTGTGAGGAGGCTTGTCTGTCCCCCCTGCTCTGCCACGGCGACTCCGCCCCGAGCCCTCACCTTGGACGGTGACCGCCACGGAGGATGCCGTTTCTGGTCTCCCCGGACCAGGGCTCCGGAAGATGGCGCTGCAGTGGTAATGCCCGCTGTCCGCCTCTCGAACCACAGCGATCGAGAATTCCCTGTCAGGTCCGGGGGCACCCAGAGCAGAGCCATCTCGGTAGAAGGTGACCTGGGCCAGGGGCCAGCCTCGCCAGGCCTGGCAGCGCAGAACCAGAGGGTCCCCTTCGAAGATGGGAGCGGCCGGGCCTTGGAGGACCAGCCAGTCTGCGGCCAGAGCGAGAGCTGAGTCACTCACTGCCCACGCGGCAGCCCCTCAGTGCGGCCCACAGAGGACCCCTCAGCTTTCTCTGAGGATCCAGGGAGCTCTCGCCCCAAAAACTTCTAGGGCCTAGGACTGAGGGCACCGGGTCTGTGGGCTGAGATGGAAGGAGAGCTGTCATCGGTGGCCAGTTCCTGCGGCACCTTCCCGCGGGGGCTCTGGGCTGAGGGGGAGCTGTGGGAAGTGGGAGAGGACCTTCCCAGGACCTTACCGTAGGACACGACCAGACGGATGGGTCGGCTGAACGTGTAGCCCCGGGCCTGGTAGTCCACTTCCCGGGAGCCCAAGTCATCCCCGGGGCGGCAGCCGCTGTCCCAGGTGCTGACAGGGCCCTCACACTGCAGGGTCTCAGAACTGGCGGCTGAGGAGGGCACGGCCCGATAGGAGCCAGGAAATGATGCTGAGACGGAGGAGAGCAGGAGCGTGCCCTCCAGCGGGGCCTCCGCCTCCTCCTCAGGGAGTCTCCCTTTTTAGAAGGAGAATAGGAAGACGCCAAGACCTTTTCCCCAGTAGACCCACGGGGTCTCTCAGAGGGTCTTAGACGTGACTCACTGTGGTTTGGGGAAGAGGCAGGGGAGAGAGTGGCCAAAGGGGGGACTCACCCGCATGACAGCCGGCTGCTGTGGGCACAGGAACCAGAGGCCACGGCCATCGGCCCCGAGCGGTGGACACAGCACAGGAGAGAAGGGAGAGGTCAGTTCTCACCCCACTGGGTGCATTACGTGCCGGAGGCTCGGCTCTGCCTCACAACCTCTATTTCATCATCACAGAGTTCCCAGGTGTGTGACTGCACCCCGAGTTTCCAAATCTTTAAGAAACGGGCTTGGAAACCCCAGTTAACTCACCCAAAGTTTAAAAGGGGGTGGGACTGCAGCAAGAAAGCTCGGTATGTCTGAGTCCAGAGTCACCATTTAGACATGACCTACTGCAGTCCTCAGCCTTCCTGAGGCCTCTTCCTGATTCCCATTGTCCCAACTCACTCGGCTCTTCATCCTTGACGATCTTACCCACCAGTGTCTCCTCCTTCCTTGCCTCCACTTTCATGTCTTCATTTTCCAGCCATCTCTACCCTGATGTCTGTCCTCTGTCCCTTGAACTCTCCCGCCCTGTCCTTCTCCCCCCGATCCTCTACTCCCAGTCCTGGCAGCTATAGAGCAGCTCTTTGCTTCTGGGTTGAGAGGTAGAGTTATGGATTTCTCACCATTCTCCTCACCTGCCTCTTAGCTCAGGTGAGCTAATTCGATTCTCCCACCTCCACCCCTCCCTGGTCCTCCCTGGTCCTGTCCCCTCCCAAAGGCCCCACACTCCCCTTTGACCTTGTCATTTCCCTCAGCGAGGCCCCTCCCCCTTCCTGGTTCTCCTCCATCTGTCCGTGTCCATCCGTCCGTCCGTCAGGCCCAGGTGCAGTCCTCAGAGCCTCTCCGCCTCTGCCCCACCCGGCTGCCCTCTCGGTTCCTCCACCCGCCCTCTGCGGCTCTCAGCTTCTTCTTTCACACAAAATCTGGTTGGGCTACCAGACACTTTCACTCAGAAAACGGCCGGAAGGTATCATCACTCTCATTTTGTGAATAGGGAAACCAAATCCAGAGATATGAGACGTGACTTTTTCAAAGAAACACCCTCGGTGGAAGAGGCGTGGAAACCAGAATGTCCGACCGCCCGTCGGGAGCTCTGGCCACGCACTGGCCGCCCAGGGCTGGCTCTGTGTTCAGTGAAACGATCAACAACATGACTTCGGGACAACGCGGTGCAAGAATTCAGACAGATCAGACGAGGTTAAAAGACAAAAGGAAAGGCCTCGTCCCTTTGGTTTGGTGGACGGCACAGGCGCGTGCACACGAGGTCTCTGCGGGAGGGAGAGTGACAGGAGAGAGGCGCCGGGCAGCCCAGCCGCGGGCAGAGGGCTCCCGGACAGCTCCAGGGGCAGGGGCCGCCTCGCTGCCGAGGGTTTGGATGCCCAGAGTTTGTGAGCGAGAGGGGAACGGGCCGTGGGCGCTCTTTTCGGCAGGAGTAGTGAGCAGAGCTGGGAGACAGGTCCGAGTGCAGCGGGAGAAGGTGTGAATCTGAGCAACTGGGGTTTGCTGGAGCCCAAGGTCGCAGAGGTTACCTGGGGGCCGGGTCGGCCGAGTGCAGAGCTATGAAGGACACAGGCTGAGACAGATCACTCAGCTGGGAGGTCACGGGCGCAGCCCAGGTCAGAAATGACGAGGGCTTGTCCGGCATGGCATTCCTTATGTTTCAGGAAAGGGGCCATTTCCAGGGACGATAACTGGTTGTCTGCAGAGCATGGGCAGAAGGGAATCTGGCTTGTTCGCCAAGCCCCTGTCTGGGTGTCCGGTGGGAGGTGGGATGGAGAGACAGGAGGGGACAGTTGGTTGGGCACCGGCCACGTGGTGCTGGGAGACCTGGAGACACGCGGTGGGTGTGTCCTGTGCGAGGCTGGGTATTTGAATGTGACGCTCAAGCACAGGCGTGGGGTTGGAGATGCGATTCAGGACTCAAACCACTGAGCCGTCCCGGGAAAGATGAAACCGACAAATAAGCTGACTGGGGAGACGGCATGAAGAGAGAACGGTAGGGAGGCAAGGAAGCCGCCAAAGGGACCAAGGGGGTCGAAGGACGTGGGGGCCGGGGAGCGGAGGACACCAGCTGGGATGAACGACAGCAGTAGCGAAGCCCACCAGGGTAGGAACTAGAGTGTGGGAAGGCCCCTAAGGCCAGATGCGGCCCCCGGGCCCCGTGACGGCCAGACCGTGAGCACCAGAGCGCAGGGGAGCTCCTCGCTGCAGAGGCCCTGTGGTCCAGGGGCTGGGGCGGGAGAGGCTGGGAGGTTTTCATGTCAGTCCCCCACTTCACATCCCCCAGCCCCGCCTCCTCGGAGGCCAGAGAAGGTCCAGGCGCCTCCCGCTGGGCCTCCTGCAGGCCACCCCTGCCCCCCAGCAGGCGTGTTACTCACCCAGCAGCACCTGGGCTGCCCAGAGCACAGGAGGCGAGAAGCAGCCCAGCTTCATGGTGACTGTGTGAAGGTCTCCGCAGCCTCACACCCCGACTTTCAACATGAAACCTCTCAAATTAGAAAAGAGGAAGCAAGTCTAACTGTCTTGTCTCCTCTTCAACTCTGATTGGCTTCCATCCTTCAGGTGCCAGGTCATCTGCGTGGAGGGCTGTGGGGGAAATGATGGTCCAGGTCCCCGTGGAGCTCAGAGAGCTTCCAGAGCACATGCTGCCTGCCATGTCCCCGCCTCCTGCTCCTGCTGGGGAGGGTCCCATGGCCTCCTGCTCCTGCTGGGGAGCTGGCTGACAGAGGCGGAAGCTGCTGAAGGCTACAGAACCCGGTGGGCCCTCTGAGAGTTCAGGGGCCTGCCCTGTGCCCTCCCCCTTCCAGCCCCCCGCAGCCCCTGCCCCACCCCCCGCCATGTTTCTAGAGCCTGGGCTGCGGCAGGACACGGGAAGAGGGCGGTGACGGCACCATGTCAGACATAGCTGAGTCCTTCCTGGGCTCTGACCACCCAGTTTCTCGAACCCGGTCTCAGGACTCAGCACCGGAGGCTGTGGCTCTCTGGCTCCAGGAAAAGGGAAGAGGAAAAGAGAAGTTTCCAGAAGACTCAGCAGGGGGTCAAGGCTCAGGCTCAGCCCAAGGCCCTGGTCCTGAGGAGACTGGAGACACCCAAGGAGACCCAGAAAGAGGGCGACATGGAGGGCGACAGCCCCTCCCAGCTCCAGGGGGCCTCCCAGAGCCACTGTCTCTGCCTCAGGATGTCCCCTTTGAGGCGGGTCCCAGTGGGCACAGCCACCCCCCTTCTCACGGGATCACCCCCTCTCCTACTATCCCCCCAGCCCTCGTGTTGCCCAGAGCTGATGAGTACATCTAAAATGCGTATGCAGGAAGGTAGGG